CAAGGGCTCTGTCCAGGACCTCCAACTGTGCAGAGTCAGTGTCGATGATCTGGTTGTAAAAGAAAAACCCCCACACACAAAATGCACTGAAAGCCATCTACAGAGAGCAGTACCCTCCAGAATGAGGAGGTGCGGCAAACATTCATCTAGTCCGGTGATGACAAGCGAACCTGCGCAGCTCATGAAAATGCTGCCGACTAGGGGGTACACAAAACTGTTTAGTCCTGTGGTTAACTTCAAATAGAGCCAGCACCCCTGCTATGAATCAGAACCATTGAGGTCTCCCAGTCAACCGATCAGTGCACACCTGATAGTAACAGTGACTGAAAGTAACTTGGGCGAATACAGGGCATGGAGTAAACGAATCCGGTGTGGTGAATACATTATTCTCTCATAAGTTTACATTATAATACAGCTCAAGCATTTTACTGACGCTGTCGTCGCTGCCATTACTGAATTTTCAGTCACTAGAAGTTGCGAAACAAAATTTTAGGTCTACTCTATGATGTGTCAGGCGCTCAGCTGTTGATTGTGTCTTTGACTGCTACACACAGACACAACTGAATGGCGAAGAAAACACGAAAAGGCCGAAATTCAGATGCTTAGTGGATGTACTCAGAAGTTAAACATTCTAACCATTATGCTAAAGACGTTGACCAAAAGCCATTTTAAAGGAAAATAGACACCCAAAAGTTATGTTTAAATGCATACACAGGTTTGAGCTCTAGTAAGTTATCAAGTGAATTCGTTTACATTCTTATCATGGCCGGGGCTCTAAAAGAGCAGAAAATTGCGCTGCACACTGGCTAGAGAACGCGTTGGCGATTGTTTCTGCCTAGCCCAATAAGCTCTATATCCTGTGGCAGCCACAGCCAGACTCTGTTTAGGAGCTGAGCAACGCAAACGCACTACGCAGCTCCGACCAACTTGCATTCTTGGGGCGATGGCTGGCTTGTGCACACAGGCTGGCTTTAAGACATCCGCATACGCCGCTCACACGAGACCACACAAACAGCCAGCAAATAAAGCATTCCTGAAGGAAGCACGTAAGTGACTGGTACACAAGCTGTAAAGAGTTCGTGCGTTGCCGATAGGAGTGTCTCAAAAAACAAAATACGTCGATGGTGGTGATGAAGTACCCCAAATACCGCATTCTGAGACTTTTTATCCGCGTTGTATTTGGTGTTGTGGCGTAGCCAAAACGTTCCTACGTCACTATAACCTACCCCCTGAGACGGTCACCTTCTGTACCGACCTGTTGGTCACTTAGTGAACTTAATTGAAATCGATGGCCGAAAACGCACACACATGAGAGCGCCATAGGGGCGGCGTTAAAAAGGAGCCATTGCAGCCTGACTCTCAGCTTTTAAAAACAGGGAGGATGTATCTACTTAAATACATAATTTCTACGAAGACGGCTTACAAGAACTTGAAAAGAACATGTTAGCCCTCGTAAATATAATGAGGAAACATATAAATGATCAAGTTATTTTCATTAAAGAACACTCTCGGACTTAAAACTTGACTTCAATCTGCATAATTTTATGTCCTACAACAAGTGGGAATATATAAAGCCAATCTTTCGCCTTACGTAAACGTATGTGGCACGATTTTTGCTGTCTTTTTTTACTTAATGGGTAATTTGGAAACGGAAGTCTTCCTGTTTACAAAACTCTCTGTATTACATTTGACTGTTGGTTGTCATGGGAGACTGGAATGGCTGGACTGATCCCGGTAACTCATCAAACAGTCACCTTATTGGTCGTTTTGGGCTTGGCTCTTGATCCGAGAATGGTGAGAGGATGCTACAGTTTGCAAGTCAGAACCGATTGCCATCAACACATGCTTACAGCATCGTCACGAACATCTGTTAATCTGGTATTCTAATAACCGCCATACTACCAGTCAGATCGATTATATTATAGTTGGTTCAAGGTTCCACAGTTGGGTCCACGATAGCAGGTCGATGCGTGGTGCCGAAACAGGTAACGTCCACGGGTCTAAACATGTTCTTTGTCGCAAAGGCCTGAAGGTTCACCTCTCATCTGGACCCAAAATGCAACGTGCGGGACGCCTTCATGTTGCAAAACTCCGGCAACTCAGCACTTTTGAGGGCCTAAGCACAGAAATCCGGTCTCGTTTTACGACCTGAGCCGACAGTGAAAGCAGTAGCAAGTGGTCATTACTAAAGGCAGCTCAGAAAATTACTTGATTCACTCAGCTGCGCCGCACCCGGACGCCAGCTGACTGATCCTGACTACGCCGACGATACGTTCCTGCTATCCTCCAGCTTTGGTGATCTACAGTATGTAGTGTCACGGGTGAATGAGATCGCCGCGTCGGTTGGCTTGTCCATAAATACGGGTAAGTCAACATTATTCTCAAGCTGCACCTCTGACCAGAAGGCACCCATGGGGATTAATTGCCATCCACTTGAAGAAGTAGAAGAAGACAGTTTTAGATACCTAGCGGCGAGGCTGCCGCTGAATGGACAGAGTAAGATCGCCGTTGTTTCCAGAATCGAGGTTGCTCGCCGGATTTTCTTAATCCACCAAGAAGATTTGTGTATACCGCGCATCCGTCCAGCCAATGCTCCTCTATGTATGTTAATACTGGGCCTTGCGCATCGAAAATGAGTAAAAACTGAAGGTATTGAACACCGCTGCCTGAGGACCATCCTTTGAGTGAAGTGCACTGACTTCCGCTCAAATGAGACAGTCCGCACTCGTTGCGACAATACCACCAGTATACCTCACGCCACCCAAGAAAGACGATTGACGTAGTTTGGGCACGTTCTCGGTTGTCCGCCTCACAAGTTTTGTTATGCTCTCCTCGATCTGGCGCTGCAGCCCACCTGGAAGGTGCCACTCAAGACTTGGCTCGACACCGTTCGTAAAAAATGGAAGCAGTTTTGGGGTCTTCGGTTTTCGTCGTCGGACAAGAGAATTAGTGGAGTTTTCCAAATCCGCCGCCGCTAATCGTCACGTATCACCCGTGGCATAAGTGAGACCGGCCAGATCACACATAATCACAGCCGTATGCGGGCTTCTGTGTGTGCGGACTTTTGAAACTTCCTTTCTGCTCTCCATTTACGCGTAACGTTCTTATATATAAATCAGTTGGACTACTGTACTCATTATAAACCAATTTCAACCTTTTTTTGTTTATTTGAACAACAACGATGGGGTCAATAGTGCAAGACGCCAACACTGCTTTGAAAGGAGTCCAATTTGGCCCAAATTTTGTCAATTATCCAAGGGTGATTCGTCATGATGTTGGTAATTGCAGCGTTAGAGTATTATGAATTACTAGTGATCGCCCAGTGTTATTTGGTTTGTGTGCCTTATTCTATCCACGGTGAGTAGAGAATGCTTTTTGCTGAAAATGTTGCATATTTGGGCAGAAAATTACTCAGTGGGAGTTAGGTCCCCGAAAAACGAATTAGTCAGGGTTTCGTTCCGTGCAAATTGCCCGGCTTTAATTTCAAACTAAAAGTTGGATTTGCAGAAAACTACATTCGGCAACTGTTAGCAAAAAGAATGCAAATGACTTACATCAGTTAGGCGTTCGATTTCATGCTCGAGACCCGCCGATCTGTCCTCCTCAAATCGAGCTGCGCGATCAAGCCGTCGAATCTCATCTTCGGTGGACTGTATGACCAAGTCGATGTTGTGACAAAGGACGGGAACTTCAAAGAAACGACCCTCAACACGGCGTTCACGTTGCTTAGCACTGTCATCTGGACCCCCAGCCTGATCCGCAAATTCTGGTCGCTTGCTGTGACGCAGAGAACTGGAAAGGGCGGCTTCGTATCCATCATAAACCCTCTGCTCACGGGTAGTCATGTCAATCACCTTGACTTTGCTGAGATCACTGCATTGAGAAGGTATAGGAAGGAGTGGCAAAGTTTAGGGCAAAGACGGCTAAAAGTATAACGTTAACGTCTAAATAATAAATGTTATGGACCAAGGGGAGAGGGTGATTATTGAGTTATAAAAGGAAACAGGGGCTTGGCAGAAAGCGCGCGAGGGAGGGAGGGGTGATATAAAATGACCAGTTATTATACATATTTGGCTAGGTCTTAAGTGACCGTCCAAGCTCTCTGGCCAGGTAAACAAGCGGTAGATGCAAATTAGGCAGATTGAACTTTGCTATAAAAAGCACGGATGGGAGAAAGGATCTGTCGCAGTATTAGTCACTAATTTGGTTGACGTAGTTGTAACAGTAACGTGTCGACAGTCAAGAGAATTTCGACACATTTAGCGCATGTGGCAGACGTAAAACAAGGGCTCAGAGCCGCATAAACCATGGTGTTCGATGAAGTATGTAGGGTACAAGGATGCAGACGATCTCCGGTGGTTTAAAGGCACCGCCTATTACTTCTGAAAGGGGTTACCGATGCCTGTTCAGCGAACAGACGTAGATTAACTGGTCAAATAGCAATTCAGTCATTACTACGATTGCTGATTCGGTCATATATTGAAGCCGTAGTGTGGGAAATCGAAAGCTGACCAACACTTACGAGATTGGCATAGGTGTGTCAAGACGAAGCGACTAGAAATGGCACCAACGTGCGGGCATGCGACCTTGAACGTCGCCGAGTTCAGTCAACGGGCTGTGAGCATGCGACTTAAATGTAATATTTGTCCAAAGAATAACCGAACATGTGTTCAAAGTTTGGGGTCTTTCGGGGGTGCGGTCAGCGCAGGGGTGAACTGAGACGACAAAAGACAGAGGTGTTAAGCTTTACTCAACGAGACCCAAAAGTTCAAATGAATACTTGAATCAAATTCTATCATTGTCGGTGGAGCAAGCGGGTAGTATTAATAACCCAACAGAAGTCAGTAGCTTATGAATATACAGTGGACTCATCTGTCATACTCCAAGAAATGTTAATTTTGAGCTCTACTGTTCTGTCCCTAACAACCTCCCCTTGATTTCCAAAACTATGTGAGCGCTGCTGAGAGTTCGAGGCTGCAGCTTTAAAGACGGGTAAAGCATCCGTATATCCTCCCGCAGTCAGGATGAAATTAGCCTTCTTTGGACAATGTTCGCCATAAGCCGGGTCTACTCTAACTGGTGTCTGCTCTCCAGGATGAAAATTGTGGTCCAAATTGCTGCCCCCGAGCTAAAAACGCAAATTAACAACCGTAGTTGCGTATTCATATTATATTGGCATGATTTCCTGATGGAGCACATACTCTGCTATACCTATGGGTCAAGTTTTGAGTATTTGAAAGTACTCAACCACTCAGAACTTTACTTTATTACAGGGCGGGCTGAAATTCAAGCGATGTAAAAATTTGCGAATGATTGATAATCACTCGCAAACTGACATTAACGCTTCTGCTAAAACTTTGAAATAATAATGAACATTCATAGGCGAATTGTGGTATTTAAAAGACGTATAAAAAGGAGTAATCGTTTGTTCAGAAAGATCAAAGTCTTGACAGCATACTTAATTTCCGCAGACGTAAAAAAACTAGACGAATAAATGTAAGCACAAGCGTCAGGTTAAATTATGGCTATGCCATTTTGTTCATACCAAAATAACTTCTCTTTCGTCAAATTGCTTTATACATATTTCAGGAATTGAACTACAATTTGTTTCAGATCGTCCTTTTAATTCTGGAAAATTTCCATCAATTTAAAACGAGATTCTGAAATGGATATATCAATTTCCATCAATTGGGATTCTCCCATAGCACAACGCATAAAAGGTTTGGTTTTGTAGTACAGTAGTATAGGAAATTTGCCCAACAACAGACAACCTCTGATTTCGCTAGAATTATGCCCTTTACCCTTAAATATACTGAAATAAACATGCAGGTTTAATTACTAAAAGGCTTCCTTGGGATCAAATCCACTCATTAGATCAAAATAACGCGACCAAATATATGCTTAACTATCAAGTCCAATTTTGATATTGACTTTGCATGAATTAACTCACATACTACAGGAACTACTGTGCTATTGAACAGTGAGTATGGTGCACCAGGACGAAACACAACTGCCACATGCTGTCGTTGTTGAAACCTTTTTGATGTCGTTATCAATGACTTTAGACCCAAAGTCGACAAGTAGAACACAATTAAATGCGTCCAAGGGCCCAGTTTGGAAACTGTGTGTTAGGGGTAGGGAAGGCAAGGTATGCGATTCCGGTAAACTTTTTCAGATAAACGAATATCCGAAGACTTTGTTGGATATCTGGAAAGTACGAGTTTTGCTCTAAGTCACATGGGCAGGTAGTGCAAACAGAACCACGCTTTGTTTTTACGGAATTATATACGAACTTATGAACATATTATGTCTGTGTTCTAAAGGTTTCTGCTCAACTTCTGAAACCACAGGAGGTTTACTGAAAAGCAGGTCATGAAAGTAAAAAAAAATAGTAACCAGCCTAAATAATAATGTTTGCCTCGCATGTCATTTCAAGGTGCACAGTTGGACAACAACTAGCCTGAGCGAAGATACATAAAAAATGAACAACGATAAGGAAATTGCACAAACCTATTAATACGACCAGAACCAAGACTTCGAATTGCAGCCATTGGCGTAGCGGGACTGACGCTGGCAATAACCTCATCTGCCGTCAGGAAAGCAGTGCTAGGAGCTCGAGGTTTTTGGCTACCGGTTTCTCTCGCAGCTGACTTCTTCTTGTACCGCGGAAGTCCAGCTAAATGAAATATGAGAGATGTCATTAAATAAAAACAGGAATTCCAGCATCAGTAAGGGGGATAATGTCGTTCAATTTTATAACTAAGACCCATGAATTTTCAGTAAATGGTCTGGAATAAAACAATTGGAACCACATCAGAATTTGCCAGGTATAGTTTTTTGTTAGCACGTTGTGAGAAAATTACGCATGAGTAATTACTGGTCGCCCAGAACATCGCTGTTTAGGTACAAGATAAATAATCTGATAAGGCGGAAAAACACACATTGCAAACATACATTTGATTATAAAGTGGTTAGTGCAAGCTGTATGGAACCAACCAATCGAATGCATAAACTAATAAATGTAGTTAATGTAAGTGACGTGTCTCGAAACAGGCTAACAAATTGCTCGCTGTGCAAACAAAACAACTGTCGTGACTTTGAAGAATCCTCTATATCTTAAAAATCAGGACTGAAATGGCTGCTGGCTTCGACGTGGTCTGCTTTCATTAGTTTCATGACAACTAGAAAACAAAGTAAGGGTTGAATTTAATATCCCCCCCCACCAGAAACCAAGTTGTTAGTTGACTGAAAAGAGAGATGCGCCTGTGGGGGGAAAAGAATTAGAGTTGGCATTATCGAATGACTTGTAATGTGAAATATCAATATCAATAAGGAGTTCATGAAAAAAAAATTGAAGGCGAACCTACAGTCGGCTTCTTCAGCAACCTCGGGCAACTGTTCATTTCCCCTTCGAGGGGCAGGAACAACTTCGGGACCCATCGAGCCAACAGCCCCTCTTCCAGTACGTTTAACAGCTTCGACAGGGGTAACAATGCCCTGG